TGCAGTTCCAGACAATCTTATGAGACATCCAGATGGCCAGAGACAAGGAAATAACTTGTAAATGATCCTGATTCACTCTTGTGTTGTTTTCTGCAGTCAAGACTAGCGCTCCGGGGCCGGCCCGGTGGCGCACTGGATAAGTGTGCCGCTTGGGAAGCGCGGCGGCGCTCCCGCCTGAGGGTTCGGATCCCACATACAGACCGGTTCCAGCTCACCGGCTGAGCGAGGCGCGGGAGCAACACCGAGGGTTGCAATCCCGTTGCCGGTCCCCGGTCCGGTACGGGGGCAACACTGAGGGTTGCGATCCGTTGCCGGACACGGAAAAAGACAAAAGACAAAAAAAAAAAAAAAAGACTAGCACTCCGGAGATAATGAACAGTGAGTGCTCTGCCGAAGACCACAACGGCCCAGGGCACAAAAGGACTTGCCAAAAACAGGTTCACAGGATAGGAGCCTCCTGACATTCTTTGATGCTGGAGCCTGCCAGGACTCTAGGGAGTGAAAGTGCCAGGTGGCCGCCACTCACCAGGCTCAGAGTAACAATAGATCAGCTCAAAGGAGCCAGCTTGTTCTTGAAGTGGAATATGCTGTAAAGGTGTCCCTTCCTTTACAAAACAGATGAGGTGCTGAAACTTTAGCCACTGCGTTTTAATAAATCATATTTCTCACAGCATATTAGGAACAAATACTTTACGGAGAATCTATTTGTGAAGTTACTAATTTCTGATAGAGAAGCGATCATCATTTCTAAATTTTATTTCAGATTCTTTACATTGTTTTTAAAAAAGCCTTTACCGACCCTGCCTCATCTTGTACTGAAGCGGAGGTAGGTGTCTGAGAAAAGGTGTATTTGGTCTGGGTTTGGTTACCCACTACCTTGGACTTTTATAGCTCCCTGTTTTCTTCTCACTCACCTGTCCCGAGCAGTGTGATTTCTTGGGGCCACAGAACAAGGTCCACTGTAGATGTGAAGATGGGACAGGGCGTTATGTACTGGCATCCTGTGGACCACGGGTACATGCCCATGCTTGTGGACTGTACACTCACAGGTGACCTGAACTTACCCTGCTCAGTGAGACAGCAGGGAAATTAGTCAGAGGAACTGTTGGGCCAGATGTGGTAAGAGATAAAATAAAGGTCCTTAAGCAGAGGAACCTTCTCAGCTGCATAGAGGACGTGGGTTTCATTAAGAGCACTCAGATTCAACTGTGTGAGAGTGTATGTGTCTGTGTGCACATGAACACGCACTCAGCTCCATGCACGTGGGAGCAGTGGTAGGTGGGGGGGTGCTATTAGGTAATAGCTCTGTCCCTTTGGAGAAAGTCTGAATTCAAAGTGATTTTTAACAGATCCTTTCATCTTGCACAAATCTCAGTAAAGTTATGACCAAATCAAAAAAAGACATGAATACAGAAGGAAAAAGAGGTATGTATTGCTAAAGTGAAGGAAAAGAGAAAGACAGTTATACTTACCCCACCACCACTATTATAAAATCTAGTAAATTCCAACCATTGCGGAGGTAAGCGTTGGGGTGAAAGAGAAGTCCATAGGCTATTACTTTTAAAAATGCTTCCACAGTAAAAATGATGAGAAAGAGATATTCCACTCGTTCCTAAGAAATGAAAATAGAAAAGAGAGAAAAACAAATCATCAGGTTGGGGATTTGGAAAGTTCTGAACCAGCAGATCTCACAACTAGATGGAAGCAAATGCTAGCCTCTCCCATCCCGTGGTAGGACCTAGGGGGACACTGGGTGGGACCCCCAAGCCAAATTAGCAACTCTGTTAGCACTCCAATCCATTGAGCATTAAAGATTTTTTTTTAACTTCAAAAGTCCCCTGATAAATACAAATATTATGGTGGTAGAAAATAGTTTTTCAAAACATCTTATTTAATCAGTTGACATTTTATTGTGTCTTCACAGAAGAGAACTTGTCATGTCTTGATCTAAAGGGAAACGACACCAGGTCAGAGGAGAAGGAGGCTGAGAGAGGGGTGGAGCAGAACCACGGGAACACTGTGCCTTGATTCTGTGGCAACAAACCCTGAAGATCATGGACATGGTCGTGGGGAGGGTACTAGCTTAGTTCTCCAAAATTACAGAGTCAAAACACAGCCAGAAAGAAACCAAGATGTCGGAGGTCTCAGCAGCCAAAACAGAGGCAGTCTGCTTCCATACACTGATCTAGCAATTTGAAATATCTTTCTTGAGAAAATAAAACTCTTTGTCGAAAGACATAGATAAGGTCAGCAGAGAAAATCAGCATTTTGAGGATGGAGGTGGGCAGGGGGTGGGGAATGGAAAGGCCCATCTCTTCTCAAGGAGTGGAAGGTCGTCTTTTCCTCCCCCCGCCACCTTGAAGAAGGGCTTTGCATTTAAGGATTGCAGCTCCTGTCCCCAGGAGCCCACACTTAACAGGACAAACTCATTGGCTCAACTGGAGCGAGCCAACTCTGTGCTGATTCACTTGCCTCCCTCGCCACTAATTGCTTTCTCTCACCCACATCCCTGAGCAGAGCTTAATGTCCCCCCAGGTGAGGACTGCCTGGATACCTTCATGCTCCACCACCCACCTCTGCAGAAGCCTCAGCAGAGTCACAAAACCCCTGTCCACACTGTACTGGGGCACAGGCCCTCCAATGTGGACAGGCCCATCCACAGCCCCCAGGAAACACCTGGCTCAGAGCCCCCAGACCCATTTTCCCCTCCTCTGCTAGGTCAGGAGGAGCTCACTGAAGACCTCCAGGTCCACCCACACTTTAGAGTGGAGGTGCTGCCAGGAAGGCCCACCTCTTCCACCTGGACTGCTGGGAGGGAGCTCCAAGACCAGGCATTGGGAGCCAGACAGGAAGCTCCATGGGGAGAGGCCAGGCCAGGCCACACAGGCGGCCTGTGCTCCCATTTACTCTTTCCCGATACTCAAGACATTTAGAGGGCACTGCCTTACTGTGTCCAGCTCTGGGTGAAGCAGTTTGAGGATGCCAAGTTAAAAACTGCAGAATTTTGAGCCCCATCCAGACCTACTGAAGTAGGCCTCCTGGCTGTGGAGCATGGAAATGTGCAGTATAGACAACTCCCAGGTGTTTCTGAGACACCCTGAAGTTTAAGAACCATTGGCCCATGTGCTGGTGAGAGCCCAGATCAGGCAGTAACAGTGGGAGGGAGAAGAGGAGTCACGTTTAATCAGCACCTCAGAGGAGACCAATCTTTTGAGTCCTGCCCATTTTAGCAACATGAAGAAGGTCTGGGGAGGTGGCTGCCTTGGGGCTGTGATCCAGAAACAAATCACAGCATGTGGGAGCCTCCAGTCTTTAAAATCAGGTGATACTTGGTTAAAATGCACAACAGGGCAGTGTCAAAAGGGAAAACACGTTACAAAAGGGCACAAGAGGAAGCTTGTGGAAGGTGGGAGAGGAGGAGCAAACAGCCACTCAGCCCCAGTCTCCACGCACCCCCACTCCCATGATGGCTCAGAGCTTCCATGCTCAGCACCAGATGACAGGGCCATCCCATCACTGCCCCAGAAACCTCCATGGAAACTCACAAAATTGGAGCTGGGATGAGAAGGGATGAGAAGGGAAGAGAAGGAAAGGGAAACAAACAAAAGCTGGATACCCAGCAGGTGTCACATGTGCTAGCTGCTCTTACACTTCCATCCCTTACCCACCCACAGCCACTCACCATTGGGGTGGCACACCAGCTGAATGATCAGGAAGTGACACTGGAGCTCATCTGGGTAATCTAGACAATGAGCTTGCCAGGAGAGGTGGCACTCAAGCACAGGGTCCCTCCTCCCCTTGGTGGGGAGAATAGCAGTATTCCAAGGCTCTGAGGGCCCTAGTGCTGGGAATATGCATTCCCAGACAGCTCCTGTAAACAATGCACCCCAATTCAGACTGCCTGGCACCAAGGAGTCTGTTTTTCCCTCACCAACAAGGTGGCTTTCCCTTGTCTGCTTGCCCTATGAAAAGAGAGAGCCACGGGTGAGGGTCCCTCTGTGAGGATGCCCACCCACACTCCGGCCCAGCAGGATCTCTTTGTGTGGTGGAAAGACTGGGGAGTCTATGACTGTTCTTATTGACCTCTGGCCTTTGTAAGTCTCCCAATAAAGCCTATTCTTTAATCCATGCCATGTGACATCTGTCCCACACCCTGGTATATAACACATGGAGACCTAGAAGGACCCGCCCCACATGACAGTGAGTCATTCAATCAAACATTCACAAACACATTTATGTATGTGCTGGGTGCTGGAGATTAGAGAAAAAGGGCTCAGAAACTGACCTCAAGGATCTCCTGGTAGAGTGGGGGCAAAAGGACAGAGGACTGCCCCACAGTGGGGAGTGGTATCTGGGGCAAGCACAGTTGACTGCAGATGGACTTGCCAGAGTCAGGATCTCTAGGGCGAATCTTGAAAGATGAAGAGTTGTCCAGGAGAAGAAGATTAGGGGGTGGGGGCAGTGAAGCAGGGGGTCACGCATTCCAGGTAGAGGGAGAACTAAGGAGACGGAAGCGTAGAGAGCTCCAGGAATGCAAATGTGTGATGGGGATGGAGTGAAGGGTGCTGAGGGAACAAGCTGGAGGGCGGGAGGAGGAGGACCAGGGCCTGCAGCCATGCCTGGACGCTTGGATTTCAATCCAAGGAGACCAGAAGTGACCTGGTCGGGTGTGCACTGCAGTCTGGCACTAGCTGAAGAATGGAGGGGCGGGGGTGGGGGGGGAGTGACCCATGCAGAGATCATGGAAGCTGGAGCCATGGCAGAGACAGTGGGATTGCTGAGATATAGGTGGATTGAGAACTATCAGGGATGCATGCTGGTTTCTGGTTGCATACTGTGTTGGGGGAAGGGTCAGTGTAGAGAAGATGGGTACTACCCTCACCCTGAGGTTTCTAATTTGGGTGACTGTGTGGACAGTTAGGCCTCTCACTGAAGCAAGGGACTTTAGGCAGAGTAAGGTGCAGACAGACTTGCTAAATTGGAGATACTGGTGACCAGACATACCGAGGTGGGCTTGGTGCAGAGTCCAGCTTACAGGGGGCTGAATGAGGTTGCCCTGCCAGAGTGTGCAGACTAAAGAGAGAAGAGCTGAGGCTGGAACCAACTCAGTGAGGAACAACCACTACAAAGCCCAATCTGAATGCCTGTCCCATCAGAAACCTCATGCCCAAAAAAGCCCCTTCACATTGTGGGAATTTATCTCCAGGCAGAAGTTACAGGATCCTGCTTAAAGCCATGGTGTCTGACATGAAGGAATCTTAAATACTACCTAATTAACCTCCCCATCTGAAAAACTAGGATACTGATATACTGAGGCCAGGGAGGTACGTGCTGAGGGTAGGAAATCAGATTTCCTGACCTTCAGTCCAAAGGTCCGTTCATCTGATCTTGCCTCCTTGGGTACCAGAAAAACATTTTTCACGGGTCCCCACCTATCCCCAAAGACATGGCTTTGAAATGTTCAGACTCCTTATGCTAAGTTGTTTAAGAATCTGTGCTAGCCATCACCCATGTCAGTATTTCCCAAAGTGAGAAAACCACTGGAAGACTTTAAATGGTACACAGAGAGAAAGCATTTGTAAACACTTCAAAGCTATTACCTTCTCAATTTTTTTCCAATCCTTCTGATTACATAAGAAGAAAAACGTCAGTTTGGTGCTAGATTGGCTAGTGTCTCTCTAATGCTTACTAATCTCCCTTTCTTTTTTTTTTTTTTTGTCTTTTGTCTTTTTCCGTGTCCAGCAACGGATCGCAACCCTCAGTGTTGCCCCCGCACCGGACCGGGGACCGGCAACGGGACCGCAACCCTCGGCGTTGCTCCCGCGCCTCGCTCAGCCAGTGAGCGGGAGCCGGTCTGTCTGTATGTGGGATCCGAACCCTCAGGCGGGAGCGCCGCCACGCTTCCCAAGGCAGCGCACTATCCAGTGCGCCACCGGGCCGGCCCAGTAATCTCCCTTTCTAACAAAGACCTGATCAGAGACCTTGGCAGAAAAGAGCATCTAGCAAGAATGTAACACCATTTTATTTTCATTAAACTTATTTTTACTGTTACTTCTTACTTAGAGCAAATAATTTTTCATTTAGGATAATGACAAGATTTCCTTTTAAAATGAATTTGGGTTGCCAAGTATTAACTATTCAATATTTAAAATAAAAGAAGGGGTCTGGACAAGAATCCAGAGAAGGGGCAGCTGCCATTTGTTGAGAAGTCTGGGACCCAGTTACTGCAGCGTGTGAATGTGTGTGGGGCAGAATGTTGCAAGAAGCAGTGTCATTCACTCTGACCTCAGAGCCATGAATGCTCTTATGGAATTACTTTAAAAAACAAACAAAAAACCTTAAGTGAAACAGCTTGGCTAATCCTTTCAAAGTATGCATAATATTGCTATAGAAACATCTACAGGCAGGTATTAATGGAGAGAAGAGCAAAAGTTGGTCAGAGCCTATTCTCACTGATGCCAGGGGCCCACAGTGAGCACAGTCTCCTCAATTCTGAGGCCAGAAGTCTGTGTACCTTCCTGAATCCTGAGTGGCCTCAGAGCTCACTGAGAAGAAACCAAATATTCAGCGTGTAAACAGACCCCTTCTGTGATCTTCGAAACTGGGAAACCT